CCACTTCCTACTCCACTGTAGCCAGAGAAGGCTTCAGACCACAGGACCACACATTTTACAAGGCTGGTTTTCTCCGTCTTCATCCTTTCTCCTTATGCTCCTTCCTGTCAACTTGCAGGCATGTTTAAATAGCCTTATCTCATAAACAACAATACAAAATCCCAATCTTCCCTCAACCCCACGTCAGCTTCCTGCTGTCACCCCCTTTCCCACCACTTGTTTTCACACTTCTGAAAGGTGTCTACACTGCTATCTTCTACTTTCTCACCTCCCATTCACTACACAACCTGAGGCAGTCTGGCTTCTGTCCTTACCACTCCACTGCTACTGCTGGTCAAGGTCACCCATGGCTTCCTTGTAGTTTAATCCAAAGGACTCCCTTCAGATCTTATCTAGACCTTGAAAGCATGTGACACTGCTCACTGCCCCTCCTTCCTTGAACTTGCCTGCCGGTTTCTAGGACACCTGACTGGACTGTGTTCCTCCTTCTATTTTGGCTAGTTGTCCATTTTCTTGAAACTGCCACATTCTCCTCTTCCCAGGGTGATCCTCCGGCCTCAGGTAAGGCTGGGTGCCAAGAACTGCAGCTTCCCCTCCTGACACATTCCTTGCAGGGACACCTGGGAATGTGCTTTCTCACCCAACAGCCGCACGGTGTGTTCTGAACTCCGGTTTGTGCCATGGCCCTGCTGCTTCGAGGCCGACAGCCTTTGCGGGTGTGTATTTATAACTGCCACTTGGAGAAGCTCTCAGAACACTTGGACATCTGTTTTGTTCATTGGTCCCCTCACAAGGTAGTATGCTTTAGGAAGGGACACTGACAAATTAGAGGGCACTGAGAGTCTGCAGAGTAGTCAGAAAACAATGTCCTGTGAGACATCTTTCAAAGAACTGGGAACATTCAGCCTAGAAGACATAAAACTGAGGGATGAGAGAGGGCTGATTCCGACAATTTGAAGAGGCCGAACCTTGGTCTGGGCCGCTGTGTGGAGTTGGAATCGGATCAACTGTACAAGTGATAGGGAGGTGGGTCTGAGTGGAGGCAGACAGGTTCTACTGTGTCCCAGAATGTTCCAGGCCTCCAAGATACAAGGTGAGACAGTCCTGTTTACCAGGAACTACTAAAGAAGATAAGCTTAGGCCTAAGTGACCACAGTCCAAGTGGAAAGATCCCCCCCCACTCCCCTGCAGACCACTGGCCTAAGCTCAGCTGGTGCCCATAGCTGTGCCCCAGGCAGTGCTTCCAGACCCGCCCTTCGCCCTTCCAGGGCCGCCAGCACTGTGCAGAGAGAGGAAGCAGGGGAGGAAGCCTCAGGAGCACTCGCGAAGTGGGCTGGGTGGTGAGCAGCTCACTCTATTTGCCTCTTCCAGCCCCTCTTTGTCTTCTCCTGTTTATTGGTGTGCTGCGGTCAGCTTACACTGTGGCCATCACAAAAACTGCCCCACCGAACCCACTGCTGTGACTGTTACGGGGTGTCGCTGAGGGTATTTGCTCTGTGTTCCGTTTATGAGCACCCCCCCCCCCAGGAGAAATGCCTGTCTGATTTTAGTACCAAGAACAGTTATAATTCTCTTGAATAATAGGTCTGTTTTTATCTCATGGACACTGGGAATTGTGTAACTGTCACAGTCTCCTTTTCATTTTGATGGGTGGAGGTGGAGGTGTGGGGGAAGCTTAGGGACAAATTTGTGGCCCACCCACAGGAGGTGAATAGGGCATTCCAAGGTGCATTTTGGCTTTATTCCCATCTCTACCTGGTCTTCCCTCTGGGTTTTTCATTTTTCTCTTAGCTTTCCTTCTCATTTTACTTACAAAATTGAGAATATACAAGCAAAAATAAATAAAAATCACCTCTAATCTCACTACCCAGAGGTAACCACAATTAACAATGCTGTCTTTGTATGCATACTTAAAAAATAAATAAAAATGACAGTGTACTGTGCACAGTGTGTTTTGGGTTATAGTGCTCTGTAATTTGCTTTTGTCATTTTATAATTTTATGAATTAAATGTATTAAATCATTTTAAATTTCTATAATGATCTAGCAATTTAATACTAAGAACTAACTTTTCTACATCCACTTACTATGTGCCTGGCTATATATACATTTACATATACATATATACATACATATATATATGAAAGTATATTCATGTAGATTATATAAGTACAATATGTATACATATTATAAGCTATAATATTCCTATGTTAACTCACTTGATGCTCACAATCCTATGAGGTAGATAATTGTACCCCTTTTGAAAATGAGGAAAATAAGGCACAGAAATTTGCAAAGCTTGCCAGTATCACACTCTGGCTCCAAAGCATGTGCTCCTAACTGCTATGCTGCCTACCATACCATTGAAACTTCACAGTCCACAGTGGTTAAACATTTTGCTTATCTCCTTTCAGCTCACTTTCTAATTTATGTTATTTTGCCATGTTTTAAGTACCCTTATAAGTTACCTGAAATCTTCTCTGCCATGGGAAAGGCATAAATAACCAGTGTAGAGCAGTATGGCACAAGAAGGCAAAGCGAATGTGCTACCCCAGGGGAGAGGATAGGCCCAGCCTGTCCTGCAAAGGAATGGATGTATTTCCTTGGGCGGAGTGAACTCCCATGCCTGGGAGAGCTAGCTTGGGTGGCTGTCTCTCAGGGATGCTGGAAAACACTTCTTCCAAGACTGACCTGAGCCAGATGAGCCCTGAGGACCCTTCTTAGGGTCTCAGAGTTTATGAAAATGCCAATAAGACAAACAGAAGCACTTAACGGAGCTAATGCAGCAAGTCAGCTATTGGGCCAGAACCAGGACCCTGGGCTTTCAGTCCAGGTATATTACTAGTAACAAATAAACCAACAGAAATTTAGTCCCAAACTCTCAGCCCAGTGCACTCTTTCCTCAAAGCTCTTTGGCAGGTGCTGCAAGGTGGTCAAAGATGCTGTCACAGTCTTTTGTTAAGGTGGCACAGAATGAGGCAAGAAGGAGTAGCTGGGTGACCCTGCGGATGCCCCATTGAGACTATAAGTGGTTGGGAATATCCATTTGACTATTGTGAGGTGAGGAAGGAGCCCAGGTTTCTACTCCTGGATTTGATGTTTACTAGCTGGGAGATTTAGGCAAGTTTCTTCACCTCCTGAGACCTCGGTTTCTTCACCTGCAAAAAGGAGTCAATACCTACTTTGTAAAGCTGTTGTGGGGCTCCCATAAGATAGTATAGGGTATAGCACCCTTCAAATCCTGAGCCAGGAAGAAGTTCTATAAGCCTGTCTCAGGGGATCTGGGGAGGGCTGGGCTTCCCCAGCCTGAGGCTCCGCAGACCTGTCTAGAGGGCCCAGTGCCCAGGTGCCCTCTGGCTTCTTTCCCCTTCAGTCTCCTGCAGACCTCAACTCCCGGAGCATGAAAGGAACCAAGTTCCTGACAGATAGGCCCAACCGCACAGTGACAACTGTGTATGTGTGTGTGGGAGGGAGTGGCGAGGGTGGGGTGGGGGTGGGGGGGTGGTACAGAGGAGCAGCCCCTGCCCGCCAGACTCCAGGGGCTTTGTGCAGGAGGGGTGAGCAGGCAGGGGTTACGTCCTCCTCCTCTTCCTCATGACCCCGGGATGTTTGCCTACAGGGGCACTGCTCTGTAGGAGGTGCCACTGGGGCCATAAGGCTGGGTTAGAGGAAGGCCCGACCTCCGCACAGCAAAGAAAACAAACACAGATGTGTTTGGAGGGGACCATGAGGGAGAAAATCGTCCCCTCCCCCACCCCTGCCTGCGCGCTCCCAGAGGCGTGGGGCTGGCGGAAACCTGCGAGGCTCCAGGGCAGCGGGGCAGCGTGGGGCCAGAGCGAGGCTGACAATCCCCGGCCGGCCCCTCCTCCCTCCATGGGGCGCGGGGGTCCAGCCTCCTCTCCGGGGTTTCCCCGGGCGCTCTTCTAGCTTTTTTCTCTGCTTTTCTTTCTCGGGCTCCCGGGTTCCCACCCGCTGATGCTCTAGCTCTCTCCATGTCCCAGGCCGGTTCCCTTTAACTTTCTTCTTTCCCGGGGTGAAAACTTTGCTTGGGAGCCGGCGGCTGCTCGCCGACGTTATTGGCCGGCGCCCCGCCCCCGCTCCCCTCCGCCCCCCACTTGGGGGCGGGGCGCCCGAGTGGCAGCTGTGGAGCCCTCAGAGGCCTGTGTGTGCGTGCGTGTGTGTGTGCGTGTGTGTGAGTGAGTACGCGCCAGTGAGCGTGAGTGTGTGTGCGCCCCGGGCGCGGGCTGGGCAGCAGGAGACGGGCTGCCCAGTCCTCACTTGGACTAGAGAGGCGGAGGCAGTGGCGGCAGAGGCGGCAGCAGCAGCAGCAGGGGCCGGGCCGGGCCAGGGCTGGGAAGGGGCAGCCACACTGGGCATGGAGCTGGCAAGCCCGCGCTGAGGCAGGACGCGTCTGCTAGCAGCGAGGGAGTGGCGCTAGCCATTCGGCTTGTGGGCTCCCCGGCCAGGGCCGGGCAAACTATTTTTTCTCTTTTGCCCTTTCCAGAGGTAAAGTCCAGAATGCGGAGTCTCCGGCGGGTCGCTATCTGGGGCAGCGGAGAGGGACCAGGGACCCCAGGCTGAGGGAGGAAAAGGCGCGGGTCCATGGGGTTGCGGGCTCCTGCACCCGAGACTTGGGGTGCTAGGCGGGCTGGCTGCGGACCTGCAGAGGGGCGCGGGCATGCCCCTCGGGCGGCGTGGAGGCGGTGGTGGCTGGGAAGCTAGCTTTCCCCTGCGGCCCCAGTTGCCACTCGGCCGGAGAGAAGCGCGAGCGATGCTGGCTTGGGGGCGCCGGGCTCACCTTCCTCTGCGAGGCGGGCAGTCGGCTGTGGGGTTGGTGCTGGGGAAGCTGGGTGTTTGCCTGCACCTCGGCTTATTGCGCTGCGTGGGGTAGAGGGCGTGGGGCAGGCTGGCTGAGCGCAGCTCCCCTCTCTCCGCAGGCGCCTTCTGCGGCGGGCGGATCCACCCCTTGGCGCAGCGGGGCCGGGGCAAGCTGGACGCAGCATGATGCGCGCAGTGTGGGAGGCACTGGCAGCGCTGGCGGCGGTGGCGTGCCTGGTGGGCGCGGTGCACGGCGGACCAGGGCTCAGCATGTTCGCGGGCCAGGCTTCGCAGCCGGACCCCTGCTCCGAAGAGAACGGCCACCCCCGCCGCTGCATCCCTGACTTTGTCAACGCGGCCTTAGGCAAGGACGTGCGTGTGTCCAGCACCTGCGGCCGGCCCCCAGCGCGCTACTGCGTGGTGAGCGAGCGCGGTGAGGAGCTGGTGCGCTCTTGCCACCTCTGCAATGCGTCCGACCCCAAGAAGGCGCACCCACCCGCCTTCCTCACCGATCTCAACAACCCGCACAACCTGTCGTGCTGGCAGTCTGAGAACTACCTGCAGTTCCTGCTCAACGTCACACTCACGCTGTAGCTTGGCAAGAAGTTCGAGGTGACTTACGTGCCTGCAATTCTGCTCCCCGCGGCCCGAGTCCATGGCCATCTACAAGTCCATGGACTGCGGGCGCACGTGGGTGCCCTTCCAGTTCTACTCCACGCAGTGCCGCAAGATGTACAACCGGCCTCACCGCGCGCCCATCACCAAGCAGACCGAGCAGGAGGCCGTGTGTACTGACTCGCACACTGACATGCGCCCGCTTTCAGGCGACCTCATAGCCTTCAGCATGCTGGATGGGCGACTCTTAGCGCACAACTTAGATAACTCGCCGGTGCTGCAGGACTGGGTCACAGCCACCAACATCCATGTGCCCTTTAGCTACCTGCACACATTCGGCGAGGAGAACGAGGACTGGGAGCCGGCGCGCAACTCATACTTTTATGCAGTGTCCAATCTGCAGGTGGGGTGGCCGCTGCAAGTGCAATGGACATGCGGCCCACAGCGTGCGTGTCCCCAAAGACAGCCTGGTGTGTGACTGCAGGCACAATACAGCCGGTCCCAAGTCCGACAGCTGCAAGCCCTTCCACTACGACCGGCCCTGGCAATGCGCCACCGCCCGGGAGGCTAACGAGTGCCTGGGTAAGTGGAATGCTAAGCTGCAGGGGTGCAGGCGGTGGGCGGGGACATGGGCGGCTGTTACAGGTCCTTGCAGCCAGCAGTTTTCAGGAGCACCAGGAGCAGCAGCACAGAGGATCATAGGCTGGGGGAATGGTGGGAAGTGCGTTCCGGGATGTCTTGGACGGGGAGGGCAGAGAGCAGGACCGCTCGCATGGCGCTGGCGGTGGGACTCTCGGGTTTGTGCCCAGTTCACTCTGCAAAGCCAAGAAGAAGCATGAGAAATGGCCCGGGTAGAAAACTTGCCCACTGGTTCCTCTAACCTCGGATCCAAATGCAAACACTCATTGCCTTACCCTCAGTTTGGCGGGACCCTGGGATCCACCTCTGCTCCCTCCCCCTTTCCTAGGGCTGCAGCTGGGCTCGCTGTTGGGAATCCCGGCTGGGTTCCCGGGATGTTTCAGCCCCACAACCATAAATCCCTTGGGAGAAGGCAAAGGGATTTGCAGTTTGGGGCCAGTTCAGTATCCGACGAATATCACTCCTGCGTCCTCCATCTGCCTTTTATGGTTTGCAAAAAAAATGTTTCCCCCTTTTGGACAGCATGTTTGTGTTAGCAAAAGAAGGATGTGATTTAAATTAACTACTATCTACAGATTACAAAGGATAGTTTAGTAATTATTTTAAAGTAATTCAATTCTGCTTCAAAACATAAGCATACCAGATTTGTTAGTGTCAGAATTTGGTGAAATTAAACAGTTTTGAATTAACTAAGGGTCCAGATTCTCGCTTTTTAATGGGGTTTCAGTTCCTGAAAGAGAAAACTGACAAAACCGGCACTATCGAATACATTTTGTCAGAAATGAGGCTTAAAAAGGGGGTGGAAGGGCATATTCTGTTTCTGAATTCTACAACTTTGCTACTATAGAAACTCTCAGGCACCAGTTTCTCCCGGGAGGGGAGGGGAAGTCTGGGGCAGGTAGTAAGACAATACTTTACTTTTCCAGTATGAGATGTAAATTTCCAAATGCCTCATTTTATTTTAATGAAAATTTTAGTTTGTAAAATGCCCTTTGGTGTGCATCTTTTGTGAACATATAGATTTTTCCTCCACCTCCCCCCACCCCAAACAGCCAGTACACTGCAGAGTTTGCTGATCCCCACAAACACACGTTTTGAGATCTGGTTCTGATTAATTGTGTCATGTTATTGTCGAATAGTTGGTGCCTCATGACTGCGGATGCAGACTTTTGAGCAATCGAATGGAAAACATGTCTTGGAGAGCTGGGTGGGCACTGAGGCCCAGTAAGGCCTCCTGGTGTGTAGAGCGAGTGCTGTGCCTCCTGTTGCATGGCGGGCCCTCCATTTTGCACTCAGTGTGTCCCGGTTTTGCAGACCCAATTGTTCTTCCCCCTCCTTTAAGAGACAGAACTGGTCGCCAGTTTGAAGAGTCTTTTCAGGATTCCACAGTGAGATAGTTATACTCGGAATTAGTGGTCTTTGAGAATAAAACTCCTTTGATCTGCTCAAATTCTTCAGAAATATTGGTTTTCCCCATATCTACCCCCTTTCCTCTTTTCTTCCTTTTGTGCGCAAAAGCCCTCTATTGACATTCCAAGGGCCTCCCAGGGTTTTGCTATCAGTTATACTTTGCATGTGCATATGAAAGATACCTTTGAATTGTACCAGCAGGGTCAAATTGGACAAATGTAAGTGAATACACAAAGGCAAATAAACTGGATGTTGTAACATTTTACTGGTTTGAACATTAGTCTTAGTGCTAGATTTATTCAGTTCCATCAGCCATTTCTATCTCTCCCTGTCACTTTGGATATGGAGACATAACCCACGTTTGCTGTAACAATAGTCAGGCACTTGAAATAACCCCTATAGTTTTTGTCTTTTGACTACAGCACTAACTATTCACAAATTGGATTGACTGGTTTTTAAGCCAAATTGAGCAGTCAATATATTAATTAGTGTAATTAGCAAGCCTTTTTGCTCAAAAAGTGTAATTAGGCCTAATAAGTAAACAATCTACATGACAAATAATCAGCTAACAATATTTTCTGTTTTTTACTGAAGTTATTTTAATTCTCAGTAGTTAAACTATCTTTGAATTGTGCCAATTATTCAGCCAGCTTATAAAAGCAAAGCCAATTCAACTATGTTAAAGTTATTTATAGTTTCCTTTTTGAATAGATACTCTGATATCTCGTGGATGCAGATGGGAAAGGAAGGTTGAAGTTCCCATAAAGTCTTAATTGAAGTCTTAGTGATTTTTCCATCATTCTGCGAAAGAGAAAGCCAGCAAAGACAATTTAAAAGTGATTTACATTTAAAGGTTGAGCTTTTTATGAAAAGGTCCTGTAGTGGAGATGTGTGAATGAATTAGTCTTTGACAGGTGTTCTGAGACACTACAGGGCACTGTGCTAGGGAAAAGCATTAATAAATCCTTCAAACACTAACTTTTGTACTATCAGCAGCTCAGATTTTTTCTCTACATAATCCCATCTTGTGAAGTTCACACTGTTGACATATAAATTTAAGCTACCCAGATTATTTACAACTAAGGCAAAGTAAAAGAAGCATATCTATATTTTCATTCCAAAAATCAGTCTTGATAAAAATGAAGTATTGTCAACTGTGCTGTTCTGTCTTTGCCTTTATAAAATGAGACATGATTAAGAATAGACTAAAATGGTATCCTTGCCCAGGTTAATCCCCTCTCCACCACAAAACTCTGAAAAAACTTTTGATATTATTATTTCACTAAATGGTTCTTCCATATAGGGCCAAGGTACTTTCAGATTACTAATAAATGCATATATCCTGTAGGTTTTCTTTGGTCAAGCTTTCTTTTCTGTATTGTTTCAAGGTTGAGTTCTCTACGGAATGAATGTGAACTTTTGTAAAGCCCAATTTTATTTTAAATGCAATTTTGGATTTCTTCTGGAAAAAAAAATTAAAAAACAACCTTCAAAACAATATGAAAGACAAGACTATGTATAACATTACAGCCTTGACAGCTCTCAGTGGAATAACTAAATACTTTCTTCCGCCCATATGTATCAGCAATGTTCACATGTTTTTATAAACATGTGCATTTATATTCGTGGTGTAAAGAAGCTTCCATGCATGGTTGGGGGGGGGTGCATTCAAGGGAAAATGCATGAACAGTTTTAAACCACCTGGGTTGCTAGGCCCCTCCCCCCTTCTTTTTTTTTTTTTTCCAAAAGAGCATCTGAAGACCATATTGTGTTTCATAAATTATTGACATCAGTGTCCCCCTGACGTCGGAGCTATGTTAGTATTTAGTACCTGACTAAGCGTGCTGTTTAATCTTACTGTGGGGATGTCAGCATGATCCCCTGCCTGGTTTGTGACAGGGTGAGCTTGTGAAAACTCATTTTGTGACTCACTCTATGGTTTTGCATTGCCCAGCTGAAACCCAAAACCCACACAAAAGACATCTCTGCAAGATGAGCACCGTGCTGGGCTGGCCTCCTATGGTCATGGGTACCTGCAACATAGTGCTCATAATTGTTTAAACATGGCTTTGAGAGGGAGTTTTTAATGCTGTAAATGGCTCTAGTGTTTGGGCCTACCATCATCCCCAGCAAGAGAGGGAGGTTATATTGGTGGTGTTGCCATGAGAAATCCAATGCCCCACTAAAAACTCTTGCAAAACCTGAAGGCTAACATTATTTGCTGCCTGGTACAGAGTCTGGCACATAGCTGTAGATTGTGAATGTTCTCATAATCGTAGTAATTATTGTCACTGTGATGATTAACTCTCGAGGGCTTAGTTTTTGCCAAGCACTCACAGTGCTTCAGTCATTTAATAATTGTGACTGTGCTAATAATAGGCCCTATTATTGTTTTTATTCTACAGATGAGAAAACCATAACCTAGAGACATTAAACCATTTACCTAAAGGCCACTACCTATTAGTACTACATAGAGCTAGTAGGTGGTAGAGCCAGGACTCCAGCCTGATGTTTATGCTTTTATAGCATCCTCTGTGCTGCCTCCTCATATTATGGGTAGATGGATGGGTGGGTGGATGAATGAGTGGCAGTTATATATCCATGTATAGGAGAAAAGTTGGCACAACCTGTTACTTCTTGCTAGAACTGCAGGTGTTTTCCGTGTTATATTACATGATACTATGTTATGTCATATATATTATGTTTATATATGCTTAAATATGAAACTATATATAAGAATATATAATGTATGTATGTGTGTGTATGTATATGTATATATATGCGCCATCAGGCCTAGTGGGAGGAGGAGTTAGGAATATAAGTGAAGAGGGTTTAAATACTTGTGGGTACTTAGCATCCATAGGTGTTGCTGATGGACAAGTCTTTCTTGCTTCCAGGGCCTGTGATCTCTCACAAAGGAGGTAGAACAGAGCACATAATCAGAAAATCCTCTTTAATAAGGCCTTCTCTTTTCTCCTTAATGCTTGGATTCCCTTTGCTTCCTTGGAACATATTGAAGAAACATCTAGGCAGTGGCTAAGAAGTGTTACTGTTAAAGAGAGGGGTTTGATGGTATATCCTGGTCACCAGCGTGGTGCTGGCAGGTGCAGCTTATGTGTGTCAGCAGAACAGGGCCGTCATTTATCTCTGTTGGCCCCATGGCGGCTGGAGTGAGGTCTTTCTGGGGTCTTCATTAGTGCCTGGAGGGCAGGGAGGATGCTCCCTCCTGTCTGCAGAGAAGAGAGACAGAGCTGCATCAGGGTAACCCTCACGGGGGTGGGGGTGGGGTGGGGGGGTCTGCATTTTCAGGCTCTGCCAAGCTCTCCTTTGGCCCTGCCCAGGCTTCTCTCTGACCTCCTCCTCCTGTAGAAAAATGAGATCGTTAGAAAAATATTTGTGACTTTATGTCCAGAGAAAATATTGGAAAGGCAGTGGGTTGAAATTCAAATGTTCCCTGGAAGGAATCCCCTCATTTTCTGCTCATAACTGGTATCGATATTTCCTATCGTGAGATGAGTTGTGCTTTTCATTAA